CCTTACCTCAGGTGATCCGCTCATCTCAGCCTCCCAAAGTGCTGGGATTACAGGCGTGAGCCCCCGTGCCTGGTCAAAAATGTTACAGGGCATGAAATGGAGGTGCTATGCTGGAGGTGGAGAGTGCTGCACAGGGCAGGTCTCTGAACTGAGACCTGAAGAATGAGAAGGAACCAAGGGAGTGAGGTGGGTGTTTAGGATTAGAGAACATTCCAGGTAGCGTGGGAATCACAAGTGCCAAGGCCCAAGGATGGGAAGGAACGAGCCCGGTGGCGGCCTCCACCCTGCCCCCATGCCACCTTCAGCGCACGGGTTGCGCAGGAGGTTCCTGTGCAGGCTCCGTAGGAAGTAGAAGATCTTCCAGTCGGCCACGGGCTGGTCCCAGTCCTCGGTGATGAAGCCCTCTCGCAGGCACTTGCGCTTCCAGAGGGTCATGAGGTCGATGAGATCCCGCCAGAGGCTGCAGACCAGGCGGCAGTTCAGCAGCAGCTGGCGGGCGGGCACGTGCGTGAACAGCTCCAGCAGGATGTTCTCGGGCAGCTCGTTAATGCTGTCCAGGGCTGCCTTGGGGTGGGGAGCATCCATGGCCTGTGGGGGGGGACAGCGGTTATGAGCCTGACCAGGGAGGTCTAGGCCAGGGACTCCTCTCCAACCCTGCATTAGCCAGGTGTGGTGGCACACGCGTGGAGTCCCAGCTAGTTGGGAGGCTGAGGCAGAGGCTGAGCCTGGGAGTTCAAGGCTATAGTGAGCTATGATTGCGCCACTGCACCCCTGCCCGGGCAACTGAGCAAGAACCTGGCTCAAAAACAAAAACAAAAAAACCACAAAAGAGCATTTCGGAAGTTGAGGGTCCTTCCAGTAAACAGTAGCCCCTCAGTGGAAAGAGTAGTCATGGGACCCACATTCAGAAGAGTACAATACAAGTAGGAAAGTCTTTAGAGACACATATTTTAAAAGGCCCCTCCCCAATTTAAGAAAAAATTGCTTAATTTTAAAGCCAGTGGTTTGGGTGGACTGTAAGATTCTGTGGAGGCCACACTTATCTGCAAAGTTCTGTGAGGGTTTTGGTGATTGTTGTTATTTTAATGCTCTGGATTCACTGTTAGAATATAAAATCGGCCGGGCGCGGTGGCTGAAGCCTGTAATCCCAGCACTTTGGGAGGCCGAGGTGGGCGGATCACGAGCTCAGGAGATCGAGACCATCCTGGCTAACACGGTGAAACCCCGTCTGTACTAAAAATACAAGAAAATTAGCCGGGCGTGGTGGCGGGCGCCTGTAGTCCCAGCTACTCGGGAGGCTGAGGCAGGAGAATGGCGTGAACCCGGGGGGCGGAGCTTGCAGTGAGCCGAGATAGCGCCACTGCACTCCAGCCTGGGGCACAGAGCAAGACTCCGTCTCAAAAAAAAAAAAAAAAAATAAAAAATCTTCCTGGCCTCCTTTTTTTTTTTTTTTTCCTCCCCCAGCCCCGAGACAGAGTTTCGCTCTTGTTGCCCAGGCTGGAGTGCAGTGGTGGGATCTCAGCTCACTGCAATCTCCACCTCCTGGGTTCGAGCAATTCTCCAGCCTCAGCTTCCCAAGTAACTGTGATTACAGGTGTCCGCCACCACAACCCGCTAATTTTTTATTTTTAGTAGAGATGGGGTTTCACCATGTTGGCCAGGCTGGTCTTGAACTCCTGACCTCAGGTGATCCACCCGCCTCGGCCTCCCAAAGTGCTGGGATTACAGGCGTAAACCACTGCACCCAGCCTTTTGCTGTGGCCTCTTCTGATTTTCCATAGAGGCTTGGCCATAGCAGCAGTTCATAGTCTTCTGAAAGCTCCCATCCCAGAAAACCGGAGGGTGGGTGTATGCTGGCTCCTGCCGGGGGAGGAACACTTTACATGGCAGAGAAAACAGGTGAGGTACTTGTGCCTCGTGAAAAATGCTTTGCAAGCTGGGAGCGGTGGCTCAAGCCTGTAATCCCAGCACTTTGGGAGGCCAAGGTGGGCGGATCAGGAGGGCAGAAGTTCGAGACCAGCCTGGCCAACATAGTGAAACCTCGTCTCTACTAAAAATACAAAAAATTAGCCGAGTTTGGTCATGTGTACCTGTAATCCCAGCTACTTGGGAGGCTGAGGCAGGAGAATCGTGAACCCGGGAGGCAGAGGTTATAGTGAGCCGAGATTGCGCCCTTGCACTCCAGCCTGGGTGACAGTGCAAGACACGCCTCCAAAAAAAAAAAAAAAGAGAGAAAAAAGGCTTTGCAACCTTGGCAACACAGGGAGACCCTGTCTCTACAAATAGTGAAAAAAATTCGCCGGGCATAGTGGCCAGTGCCTGTGGTCCTAGCTACTCGGGAGGCTATGGTGTTAAGATCTCCTGAGCGCAGGAGGTCAAGGCTGCAGTAGCTCACAGGCGTGAGCCACCAAACTCGGCCCCTCAGAGGTTTTCTAACTTAGAGTCCATGAGGCCTGCTGAGGTCACACTCTAGGGAAAGAAGGAGCCCGCTGGAGCAGAGTGAGCCATGATTCCTCCATGGCAGTCCAGCCTGGGCAACAGCAAAACTGTCAAAAAGAAAAAGGCTTTGATAGGGGGAAAAAAAAAAAAAACTCAATGTGGCCAAGTCTTCTAAGTTATGAGAAGCAAATGTAGCATTTGGAAAAAAATGTAAAACCTGTCAATTAAAAATGCCTGTAGTCTGGGCAACATAGTGAGACTCTGTCTCTAGGAAAAAAAGAGATTAGGTTGGGGGTGGGGACTCATGCCTGTAATTCCGGCACTTTGGTAGGCCGAGGTGGGCGGATCACAAGGTCGGGAGTTCAAGACCAGCCTGGCCAATATGGTGACACTCCGTCTCTATAAAAATATAAAAATTAGTTGAGTGTGGTGTCGGGTGCCTGTAGTCCCAGCTACTCAGGAGGGTGAGGCAGGAGAATTGCTTGAACCCTGGAAGTGGAGGTTGCAGTGAGCTGAGATCGCACCACTGCACTCCAGCCTGGGCAACAGAGTGAGACTCTGTCTCAAAAAAAAAAAAAAAAAAAAAAAAAAAAAAAAAAAAAAAAAGAAGAAGAAAAGAAATTAGCTAGACCTGGTGGCCCGTGCCTGTAGTCCCTGCTACTCAGGAGGCTGAGGCAGGAGGATCGCTTGAGCCCAGGAAGTGGAGGCTGCAGTGAGCTGTGACCATGCCACTGCACTCCGGCCTGGGTGACAGAGCAAGACTGCCTAAAATAAATAAATAAACGCTGGCAACTTCTAAAGTCACTGTCTAAACTCTAGACCAAATAAAAGTCACTGGGCTCCAGGCTAGAGGCGTTTAGGCACCAATAGCTTCCTACCGTGGTGACTGAAGTCTAGTCTCTGGCCCAGCCCGCATTTTCTTGCGCCCCTTCCCCGCCCCCACACGGGGCATTTTGTGGTGGGGAAGTCCATGCCAGCCCTAGGAAGCCCTCACACCGATCGGGTTCCCCAACTGCCCGGCCCGGCGTCTCGTGCTGGCCTTCACCGCACCCACCCTCCCAGCAAGCTCTCGGGGCACTCTTACTTCACCGGTTTCTCGGAAACAGAAACCGTGGCTGGGGAAAGGCAGAGGCCGGATCTCGCAGGCGCGTGGGGGCCTGGAGGTCCCCTGACAGGTCTCCGAATCCGGCAATGGCCTCGGGATGTGGCCGGGGTGGAGGCGGCCGCAGAGCCTCCGCCCGAGTGGCCCCGGGGCCAGGCCCCCAGTCCGGGCCCAGCCGCCCCCGCCCCCTAGCCCTGGACGCCCGGACCAGCGCCCGCAGGCTCCGTGAACGCCCAGGCGCCTGAGACCCCGGCTCCCCACTCGCCCGCCGCCCGTCCCCCCGGGGCCGCAACCTGGAAGCAGCGGCGGAGCTCCGGGTCGGCCCGAGCCTACGGCCTCGGCGGCGTCGTCGCTGGGCCCCGCCCGGCCCCGCCGCCGCGTCACGCGCTGCGCTCGGTCTCCACCCCCGCCCCGGACCCCGCTGCGTCCCTCCCGGCCCGGCCCCGCACCTTCGCCGCGGGAAGACTAACCTGAGGTCCCTGGGGCCCGGGCCCTCGCTGCGGCCTGCGTGTCCTGAAGCTCAGTCTCCCCCTCCAGGCGGCGGGCGGCTCAGCACCCACACCTGCACCCCCCTCCTCCGCAAGGCAAAACTCCCTGAACGCGAGGCAGCTCAGCGGACCTCCGCACTAGTTCCTTCCTTAAGGGGCCCAGGGCTCCACCCTTGACCCTCGGTTCACTCCCTAGAGGGAGGAGCTGACACCCAGCAGGCTCCTTCTTTCCCTAGGGCGTGACCTCCGCAGGTAACAACCTGAGGGGCTGGGAGGTGGCTAACGCCTGTGATCCCAGCACTTTGGGAGGCCCAGGTGGGGAAGGTTGCTTTAGGTCAGGAGTTCGAGACCAGCCTAGCCAACATGGCAAAAAACCTGTCTCTACTAAAAATACAAAAATTAGCAGGGCATGGTGGCGCATGTCTGTAATCCCAGCTCCTCCGGAGGCTGAGGTGGGAGAATCGCTTGAACCTGGGAGGCTGCAGTGAGCCAAGACTGCACCACTGCACTGCAGGCTGGGCAACAGAGCCAGTCCTTGTCTCAAAAAAACAAAAAACCTCTGAGGTTTTTTGTCAGGAGTAAGTTCATGAATTTCTTCCATCAGTCAACAAATAATTAGCAAGCACCTTGTTCAGGCAACCACCAAGGGTTGTGCAGGCTGTGCACTGCACAAGAGGACTGGCCCAGGCCACATTAATTGCAGTCAGGGCTACGTCTTCTCCATGGAAGGCCGTCCTTTTGCAGTTTGCCATGGGCTGGTGGATGGTGATCCTGCCCTGGCCAAAGCCCTTATCTAGCCCACCCTTGATTGAGATAGCTAAATGTAAGGAGTATTTATTAAGTGCTGTATTAGTCCATGTTCATACTGCTATAAAGAAATACTCGAGACTGGAATTTATAAAGGAAAGAGGTTTAATTGACTTACAGTTTCATATGGCTGGGGAGGCCTCAAGAAACTTACAATCATGGTGGACGGTGAAGCGGAAGCACGTGGCAGCAGGAGGGAGCCAGGGAAACTGTCACTTGTAAAACCATCAGATCTCGTGAGAACTCACTATCATGAGAACAGCATGGGGAAAACCGCCCGCATAATCCAGTCACTTCCCACCAGGTCTTTCCCTAAACACCCAGGATTACCATTCAAGATGAGGTGTGGGTGGGGACACAAGGCTTAACCATATCAAGCACCAGCTGTGTGCCAGGCACCATTCTAAATGCTTCGGCTTCATCCAATGTCAGTAAAGCTCTTGGCAAAGAATAACACCAGGAGGCAGAGACTGGGTGGCACTGCTGATCTGGCACAAGGTGGACTCAAGGGCTGCTCAGAGATGTCCACACACCCCAACCCCAGCCTGTGGCTGGGCCTCTAGAGGAAGCCAGCAGTACTGGACGGCTGCCAGGTGAGACACCTGCAGCTCACTGAGGGGTCTGTCCCATGAACCTGCTTCTGTGATGGTCTGGTTCCTGAAATGCCAACCCCTCTGTACCTTAGGCAGAAGCCACACCATTGTACCATCTGCAGGTCCCGGCGGGACCACCTAAAGTCTGCCTTTCCTTCCAGAAACCACAGGGCACAGGTTAGGCTGGGCACACCTTTTATTTGACTGCATGCAGTAGGGCGAGGTCAGGAGAACACTGCTGTCCTTCCAGCAGGACAAGAGGCACGTTCCAAGGGTGGCTGGGTGGGAGACAGAGGTCTTGGGAATGCCAGTTCTAGGGGTGGGGTGGGGGCTTGGAATGCTCTCCAAGCCACAGGGGGTCTGGCCTGGATTTGGGAGGTGGGCAGGGGATCCTTCAAACACCCTACCACACTCATCCAGGGCTCACGTGTCCAGCTGTCAGAGCGGGTCCCAACCCTGCTCCCCACCTACCCTGGGACATCCTGTGCAGGATTCCCTCAGTCCTCTGGGAACCTGACCCCCACCTGGCACCCGTCTAGCTTCTAGGCTCTATTGATAGTGAGGCAAGTCCACACCTGACCTGGACCCCACTCCACCCTGGGTCTGCCCATCTCAGACCGGGCCTGACCTCTGGGCTAAAGCCACCTCTTCTGAGCAGGCAGGCAGAGTAAGAGACTGGGAGCAGCAGACGGGGCAGAGCATGGCCCACGAGCCCACCCTCCACTTCCCAGACTGGTCTGAGTTACATGGTCACCTCCCTGCACCATCAGGGCAGCTGCAGGCTTGCCAGATGTCTTGCCTGTCCCTGCTCTGAGGGTCAAAGAACACAGAATGGTCCCAGGAGGGGAAGGGAGAGACAGATCCAGGCTGGCCTCCAACCTTGACTTTCTGGGGGGGCCCAGGGGAACACGCCGCACCTCTCACATCTCAGGTGCTCCGTCTCAGAAAGGGGCCCATGCAGGCTTCCTCACCCATCATTCAGGTCAAGACCTTTTGGGGAGAGCTGGCCCCCACCCCAGCATGTGAGGGCTGCCCACGCCGAGAGGCTCCACAAAGAAGAGGCAGCTGGGGGTAAGGGTCAGAGGTCTGGGGACGCCTGGCCTCCACCTCCCCTTCCCAAGCCCAGCCGCTTTCTGACAGCAGTTGTTTACCAGTCAGGGTTCAGCAGATGGGGGCTCAGGGGGCGTCAGGGCAGCGGGGGCCCGATGGTGATGCTGCTGTTGGTGACCCTCGGGCCGTACCAGCCGGCCCAGTAATGAGTGTCCACGCCGCCGTGCTGAAACCAGATGTAGCGGACGCCGGGCGGGTAGTTGGAGAATGTGTGGGAGACCTGGCGGGGCAGGTAGAGGGGGGAGAAAGGTCAAGGGAGCTGACTCAGGCTGGGTGTGGCGGTTCACACCGGGAATCCCAGTACTTTGGGAGGCCGAGCTGGGAGGGTTGTTTGAATCCAGGAGTTTGCGACTAGTTTGGTTACAACCAGAGATAGTGAGATACCATCTCTACCAGGAAAAAAAAAAAAAAAAAAATTAGCCAGGCACGGTATGTGTGCCTGTAGTTCCAGGCAGGGATGAGGCGAGGAGGAGTACAGGCTAAGGCAGAAGTTCAAGACTGCAGTGAGCTGTGATCACGCAACTGCACTCCCAGCCTGGACAACAGAGTGAGACCCCTGTCTCTAAAAACAAAAAAAAAATAAAAGAAAATGAAGCCTTGAAAAAAAAAAGGGTGGGAGCTGACCCTGGAGGTCTGGCACTGCCTGAGGGGGGCAGGGGAAAAGGAAGTGGCGTGAGTTCTTCGGTACCAGTCTAGAATTCAGTGGAGTTCTAAGTTTGAGCTCTGTGATTTGGGACAGATCATTTCTTTCTCTGAGCCTCAGTTTCCTCATCTATAAAAATGGAGCAAAATCCTGCTGTCCACTCCACAGGTTTATCATTCAGCCAAAGGAATGAAAGAAACTGCAAGCTGCCAAGAGATGTCCAATATGCCATCACAGGCACATGTATTATTTAAGCTAAAATTAAGTAAAATTGCCCTGCGCGGGTGGCTCACGCCTGTAATCCCAGCAGCTTTGGCAGGCTGGGGTGGGGTGGATCACCTGAGGTCGGGAGTTTCGAGACCCAGCCTGACTAACATGGAGAAACCCCGTCTCTACTAAAATACAAAATTAGCTGGTGTGTGGCGCATGCCTGTAATCCCAGCTGCTCAGAAGGCTGAGGCATGGAGAATCACTTGAACCTGGGAGGTGAAGGTTGTAGTGAAGCTGAGATCCGCGCCCACTGCACTCCAGCCTGGGGACAGAGTGAGACTCCATCCATCAAAAAAAAAAAAAAAAATTAAAATAGATGAAAAAAAAATTCAGGTTACTCAGCTTGTACTACAGAACTGGCTCTTACTACTTGTTCAGTGGTCCAATGTAGCTACTGACTACTTTATGGACTAGTGTAGACACAGACCCATTTCTATAACTACAGAAAGTTCTATCGGACAGGCTGGCGGTGGCAAACGATGTAACGCTGCAAGGCCCAACTGCCCTGTTTTATAAATAAGAGTTTTACTGGAACACAGCCATCCGCCATCTCATTTACTATATTGT